TTTCAAAGGTGTCACAACTAAGAAGTCACTTTTTAAATAGACAGTTACTTTTTTTAATTTGTGTTGAGAGGTTTTTATTTACAACGTTTACTTTACTACACAAACTTTTGCCTTCTGAAAAACATTAAATGGTGAAATTCAAGAGCTGTTATTATGGGTATTATTCTGATCAATTTTCTATCAAGGTCTCATTCATGTTGGTGTTTTCCTCTGAATCACCACCTAAGCCACAGGTGTCCAAAGTGTGGCCCTAGGGCCATTTGCGGCCCTTGGAGTGATTTTGCGCGGCTCACAACTGCAGTTTAAGAATGGTATCATTTAGCCAGTAAGAGTTAAGAGGTTGATGCAGACTTTCTGCAAATTAGTTGGAAATCTTTTTTAATATAATGTTTATGTTTAACAGCAAAACGGATGAAAAACAGTATTTTCAAAATGAGTCAGGCAGAGTCAGAGATTCTTTATTGTCATTTGCACCTCATGTGGTACATGTGGTGGAGCGAAATTATGTACACAGGGTCCCAGTTACATCCAACAATAAAATGTATAAGAAAAACAGTAATAACATCTAAGATATGAACTAAGAAAAACATCAACTAAATATACACTAAGCACTCATAACATAAAAACATTGAACATCAGCACAAACATGAACATGAGTCTGTGTGAGTGGATGAGCACGCATGAACACATCAACATTGAAACAGATCAGCAGCAACATGAAACAGATCAGCAGCAACATGATGTGATTTTTCATAGTGATTATTCTAGTTAGAGATTCATGAGTCTAACAGCCTCAGGGTAGAAGCTGTTCCTCAGTCTAGTGGTTCTACACTTAATGCTCCTTAACCTCCTTCCTGAGGGGAGTGGGGCAAAAAGTGTGTGTGCTGGGTGAGTGAGGTCCTTCATGATGCAGATGGCCCTCTTTCTGCATCTGGAGGTGTAGATGTCTGTGATGGTGAGGAGGCTGACTCCGACAGTCTTCTGTGCAGCCTTCACCACTCTCTGCAAAGCTTTTCTTTCTGCAGCTGTGCAGCCTCCATGCCACACGCTGATGCTGGAGCACAGGATGCTCTCCACTGCACACCTGTAGAAGGAGGTGAGGACTGAGCTTCCCAGACCAGCTCGTCTCAGCCGCCTGAGGAAGTAGAGTCTCTGATGAGCTTTCTTGATCAGGCTGGTGGTGTTGTTGCTCCAGCTGAGGTTGTCATTCATGTGTACACCCAAGTACTTGTAGCTGGAGAACCACTTCCACCACAGATCCTCTTATGTTCAGGGGGATGTAGGTGTGTTTGTTCCTTCTGAAGTCCACAATCATCTCCTTTGTCTTCTTCACATTGATGTGAAGGTTATTCTCTCTGCACCAGCTCTCCAGGTGTTCCACCTCTTGCCTGTAGCTGGACTCATCATTGTTTGTGATGCATCCCACCACCACTGTATCATCTGCAAACTTTACAATGTGACAGCCTGGATGGGTAGCTGCGCAATCATACGTGAGCAGAGTAAACAGGAGGGGGCTCAACACACATCCCTGAGGAGAGCCAGTGCTGTGGGTTATGGTGGAGTAGGAGAAGTTGTGGATCCTCACTAACTGTGGTCTGTTTGTTAAGAAGTCTAGTACCCAGTTGCAAATGGAGGGGCTTAGTCCTAGTGTGGATAGTTTGTCCATCAGAGTTTGGGGGATCATAGTGTTGAAGGCGGATGTGAAGTCCACAAAGAGCATACGGACGTAAGAGTTTTTCTGCTCCAAGTGGTTGAGCGCAGTGTGGACCACAGAAAAGATGGCATCCTCTGTTGATCAGTTCTCACAGTATGCATACTGATGAGGGTCCTCGTTGATGTTGATGGTTGTTTTGATGCGAGTCATGACCAGTTTTTCAAAGCATTTAGTGACTATCAGGGTGAGGGCCACTGACCGAGAGTCATTCAGACCAGTCACTGTAGAGCTTTTTGGGACTGGGATGATGGTGGCAGTCTTCAGGCAGGTGGGAACTGTCTCCAGGGTAAATGAGGTGTTAAAGATGTCTGCCAGCACCTCACAGAGCTGATCGGCACATTCCTTCAACACTTTTCCGGGGATGTTGTCTGGGCCAGTTGCTTTGTGAGGATTCATCCTCCTGAAATTACTCCTTACTTCGGCTGAGGTCATGCTGAGATGCTCTTCATCCGGTGGTGAGGTGAGTCTGGTGCTGGGTGATTTGTTCGGGTCTTCAAAGCGTGCATAGAACTTGTTGAGGGCATCAGGCAGAGATGGGTCTTTGGGACATTGTTCGCTTCTTCCTTTATAATCTGTTAATGTTAACTTAATGTCCCTCCACATGCTCCGAGGGTCTTGTGAGATGAATTGACCCTCGATCCTCTGTGCATATGTTTAAATGTGTAAATGAGCAATATTAAACAAAATACAAACTTTTGGCTATAATTTCTTTATAGTACCAAGCATCAAAAAGCACCAAAAACCTTTAGTGATCTCTACCAGAAAGGAGACTTTTGGATAATGATTCATAAAACTTGTTTAAATATTGCAGTTTATAAAATAATCAAGAGGGAAACTGGACATTTTTTTAAATGACTAACATGGCATCATCTACATACGAGTTGATCAATTTTATCAAACCTTTTATGAATCTCAGTGCTTAATTTGAACCAGATCTTGCCGGAAGAAGATCCGAGAACTCTCTTATTTTGTCAGGGTGCCTTCCAGCAACTGTTTGCTTGGATTGAGGAACTCTCAGGCTTACTAATAATAAAGTTATGAACAAATATGACTGCCTTGTTGTTTTGGGAGCCATGCTTGAAAAGTGTCGCTCCCCTCTGCTGCTGAGACGATAAATAAATAATTCAGACACCTCTGCTGCTATTTTAATGATGCTCAAGATGCTTGTCACCCACAGCACACATGCAACAAAGAGTAAACTCAAAGCGAGAGCGATACCTCTTTCCTCTTTTGCGTTGACAAAATGTTTTAGTTTTATCGATGAGTTTGTCAAAGCACAATTTTGATGTTTTTTTTTGTAAATACAGAAGTAATGTTTAATAAATGTTAGGACTCTATTTTTTTGCTAACAAAATATATTTTATGTCATTAAACAAATTGTCAGGTTCTTTTCTTGTGAGCATGTGCGTTCCCCAGGACCCCCACCCCCAACCAGCCGGTCCACCCGCTATTGGCGTTCCGGCAGCGATCAGTTTACAAATTAAGCCTTGATGAATCTGTTGTAGCAACTGACAACTGGATGATTTTTCAGAACTTTGCTCAGCCTTTTGGGCCGTCCATAGGCCTGTCATGATAACAAATTTTGCTGGGCGATTGTCTCAGAAATGATTGCGATAAATGATAAAATTGTTTGAAATTTGACAATAATTAGTAATTATTGTCAAATTTAAGAAGAAATATTGGTAAACTTTTGTGTGCAGTATCTTTTTTGAGCACTGGATGTCAGTATAAGACTGTCTGAACAGAAGGATGGATAGTGAAGGAGTAAGTGGCGTGTCTCTTTAAAAAAAATGGGATGGAGGCCCCTTGACATGACATGGGCTGTCTCTCCTTCCTGTTTTTCGGTTTGCAAAATGGCAGACGCTTGGTGTGGTTTGAGCTCTTTAGCATAGCATTTTTCACACAAAGCTTTTAATTAAAAAATCAGTAAACAAGTTCTCAACTTATTTTTGCAGAGAAAAAACTTTTTACATGAAGGCACGAGTTTCAACCGTGAATTTTAGAGCTTCGACAAGACGGAGGGTTCCCCCCCCACCCCACCCCCCCGAGTTGGCCTGTTAGCTTAGCTCGTAGCTTAGCTTCTCAGCTTAGCTGCTTTTAATGATTCAAAAATGTGATTTTGAATGGTTAAAACAGATTTTAAAGAGAAAGGGAGAGGTCAGTGAAGAGCACCGCAGTTGAGCCTTTTCTCATCCAGTGTCCAGTAGAAAGAGAGACACGAAGAAATGATAAAGCCGATAAATGAAAAGGAGATTAATAATTTTCATTTATCATGTGATTAATTGATTTATTGATTTATTGTTTATTGCGACAGGCCTAGCCGTCTATGGTCCAAAAGGCTGATCGACCCCCTTTCAAAAGGATACTTACTCAAATTACACTGTTGTTTCTGAGAACAGACTAAAATGAACTTCCCAAACATAAAAAAAAAAAACAACAAACATAGACCCAACAAATCAAATAAATTAAATGATTTTTAACAAAAAAAAAAAGCTTAAAATTTTCTAGGCTTTTAATGTTTCGGATCTACAACTATTTAAAACTCTTTCTCCACCAAAATTAGTCAACTTTTGTCCTTCCTCCAAAATATGGCTCATGTTGTGAGTTAAATTCACATTTTTGTGGCCCACGAGTCCTTTCATCTTGATAGTTTTGGCCCACACATGAAGATGTTTGGACACTCTTGAAAGCTTTTTGAATGTTTTCTGTTTAAAATAAAAGGATTTCTCACATAAAATTGCAACAGGCTGACAGAAACGACATTTGGTGCTCTAGGATATTCTTTTTACTTTAGGGAAATCCACATAGCTTAAGATAAAGTTCGAACGTGTTCTTCAAGTTTCTTCAACTTCAAGCTTCAAACTGGAGATCAAGTCTCGGGTGGTATGCAAGCTGTTACGACAATAAGCAAAATTAAGCTAACAGTTGGATAATTGGCCTTTTGATGAGAAAGTCTGTGGTGTTTCACAGCTGCACAGCTCAAACATTCTTCTACAAAACTAGCAGTGTGGGGAGCTTTGATGCCATTTGCTTTGAATTAACCGTTGCCATAGTTTCTGTGGAGTCGTCTTATCTTCAGCTGTTCAGCCATGATGGTTAGTGGTGTTCTTTAAACCTTATTTTACTGCAACAAGTATATAAAAAAAATACAATAATTTGAGATAAATTTGAAGTTCATGAAGTGGCTAAATAGGATTTATTTATTAAAGCAGCTTTCAACAAAGTACTGCAAACAGAAGCATTAGTTTTATGGGTAAGAATGTAATTGGGGCCGTGGTCTTCTGACCTGTTGAGGTAGACTCGTTTCTCTGTGAACTGGCCTTGGCCATGAATTGGGTCTTCAAACGGCTCGTTCTGTACGACCTCCACCCCTTCCCCTCGATCGCTCTGCTCATGGCTGTGTTTGCTGATCATGTACAGCTGCCCGATCCGGTACTGGAAGATAAGGAAACATGCAGGAAACATGAGAACATAGACTGCAGCGGCATACCAAACCACCAGTGAAACAAACAGGCTTCATCTTGATCTTTTGTTATAAATACTAACAAAAAATAAGATTAAATGCTAAGCAAGTCATGTCATGAGTTTCGATTTTCATTTTCTGAAGGATGAACTACTGCCTTGAATTTGTTCAGGACTCAAAACCCCACTTCATGTTTCAAAAACACTAACTTTTTAGCAGAAGACGTCCTTACACAGTAGTATTATTTTAGTTTCTTGTATTTGTCTAAAGTGTACATAATATTTGTCTATACAAGACAGTGGTGAGACCAGCTATGTTGTACGGTTTGGAGACAGTGGCATTGACAAAAAGACAGGAGAAAGAACTGAGAGTGGCAGAAATGAAGATGTTGATGTTCTCTTTGGAAGTGACATGAACAGATAAGTTTAGGAATGAGATCATCAGCACAGGTTGAACATCTGGGAGATAAAGGGGGACAGGAGCAAACTCTCGGAGATTGTCAGGCTCTACAGAACCTCACTGACCTACACACGGTGAGGTCAGGGAACAAGGCCAGGCTGATTCTGGCAGATCCTGTTCATCCACTCCATGGTGAGTTCAGGTTGCTTGGATGCAGGTATCTGCTGTCCAGATGTAGAATGAACAGACTGAAAAACTCATTCATCCCTGTAGAGATCAGGTTCTCAGTGAACAGTGATGATTTCTGTACTGTTGTTTCAATGTCTCAATGTCTTGTTTAGTATTGATGTTTTGTGTGCCTACTGACTGTGAAACTAATTGCCCCGTGGAGATACAAAGATTCTTGAACTTGAAAGTTAGAGAGGCCAAACAGATGGATGTCCAGAGGAGGGACAGTGGGCATACTGTAGAAGAATGTTAGAAATGCAGCTGCCAGGAACAAGACAAAGAGGAGATATATGGATGCAGTTAGAGAAGACATGGAGATAGTAGGAGTGAGGACAGAGTGAGATGGAGGAGGATAACTCGCTGTGAATGCCTGAAAAGGAAGCAGCCGAAAGAAGAAAAATAAGATTTATCCATGTAACATGTAACGCTTACATTAAATTTGTTGTAACTGGACTTGGACTACATGTATGGTAGTTGTAAAATTTTGAAGTCAGACATAAAACAAAAGGTGCAATAAGAAAGTTATTTTACATTTATCTTCTTTTTTTTGTTTTTGTTTTCTTTCTTTTTTTTGGGGGGGGGGGGTTCATTTAAGAAAGCAACAATATTTAGTTTTTTGTTACATGTTCATTTTTCAGTAACATAAAATGATTTTGTGTGGGACACCTACTGTTTTTTGCACCGTGATGTTACCCAACAGCAGACAAGTAAAACAAACAACATAGTAAAAGAAATGTGTGGGAATAAGTGCAGAAATAACAAAAGAGATACTGAAAACAATATTGCATTTCTGTTAATATATATATATATATATATTACAATATTATAGTGGAAAACAGAAAATATTTAAACTGTTTTCACTAAAAAAATACAATCTGTATCACTATGAGGACAGCATTTTAAACAAGCTGTTCAACAGGGACTTTCTAATTCTGGCTGAAATGATCAGCAAAATGTGAGAAAGCTGTTCTATGACACAGTAAAGCACTGACAATTTCTGGTGAGCTTTATCAAAAATTGCTCCATTACTAAGCCTCAGGTCAACGATCTCTCCTTTGAGGTTACATTTATTTTTCAACGCAGCTTCATTGTAAAGATTTTTATAACCAAAATTTAATTTGCACCAACTCTAACCTTCCTCTATGCAATAATTAGGACATCATGAAAAGGTCAGATGTTGACTTTTGTATTAAAGCTCCTTCTGTAGTAGAACAACACATTAAATCACATCAACTATAAAGTCTGGCTGTGGAAACAATGCTCTCCTACTCGCTCTCTTCATCAAATCACTAACTGAAGGAAAAGGGCTCTTTCTTACATTTTAATTTACTTTCCATTTTTTCTTAGCGTTTAACCAAAAAATAACAAATAAATACAATTATGAAAAAGTCTAAAATAAATATGAAAAACAGTAACGACTAAACTGGAAGAAAATAAGCCTAAAGAAATTGAAAGTAAACAGAATGGAGTCATTTTAATGAATAGCTGAGATAAAAAACATTGAAAAGACATATATGAAAACTTAAAATAAGCGCGTAAACAGCCACATAAAACTACTTTTTATACTTTGAATCCTTTTTATCGGTCAAGGGCAGTACCTTCTCAGTCACCACATGATTTCGCTTTCACACAGGCTTTAGTTTGAAAAAGGAAATAAAAAAAGGTGAGAGCTTGGTCCATAATAACGAAGGAGACTGAATCCAGCATATTCGTGTGAATCACACTTTTCTTCTTTGCCTGACCTTTATCTGTCACAGCTGCTGGCCGAGTAGTGAAATGCTGTCGGGGGGAAATGTGAGTTGCTCACCTACAAAAGCTCACAGAGGGATTTCTTAGATGGTGTCAACACCTAGGTGATGTTGAGAAAAATCTCTGACGGATACAACTATTTAAAACTGTGTGAGGTTGAATTAAAAACTTGTAAAAAAAAGTTATTTGAAATTCCCAAAGTCCTTTATCCTGGTCAAGTAGAAAAAAATGTGCTAAACCAGTAAAGACCAGTCTTATTAAAATGGTATACATTGTTTTAGAAATAGCTATTTATTTGTAAATAAAAAAGAGAAATGCCATTAATATCTAACTAATAGTAAACAAACAAAAAAATACAGTAATCCCTCGTTTATCGCGGTGGATCTGTACCCTGAAGACCAGCGATAAGTGAAAAACAGTGAAATAGGAACAGTAGTACAAGTAGTAAGTACGTTATTTTAGTGTATATATATATATATATATATATATACACATATGTATATACACACATATATACACATATAAGTCATAATGTATTATATAATGTATAAGTCAAGTGCTCACTGTGTTTCACAGAAAAACAATTACTATCACACAATATGCTTCTGCAATATTATTTGAAGAAAGGAAATAAATTAAATTAATTACCGGTAGCTTATTATACAAAACTTAAATAATTCAGTGTCAAAACAGAAAGCATTCGGTCTATACGTCCAATCCACAAAGCGGAACCAACATACTGGAATATTCTGCATGAATGTACTGTACATCAGTAGATTACAGCAAAGTTTGACACTTGTAAAAATACATGCATTGACAGTGACTGTGTAAAAACTAGTTAAGAAGGTACATTTTAGGTCATGGTAGTATATAGTGTATGCAAATGGATGGAAATGCAGGGGAAATTCAGTATACATGTATACTTGATTGAAAAAATAAAATGAAATCAACCAATCGATGAAATGATCAATTAATAAAATAGTTGAAAGCTACAACCCTATACAGGAACAGACAATTCAGTGGTGTTTCCTGTTTATCGTACATGGTAATTTCCTGAATCGGATGAGTCCTATTTCTATACTAATAAAGTGTGAGGATGGTCATTGTTATGCTGAACAGACCCTCCAGTGGCCAATTCTCCCTCTGGGACAAAAAGTGTAATCATGTGAAAAATAGACACTCCAATCAGAATAAGGAGGCTTTAACACACTGTATTACAACAATGATGAAGTATAATAGCTTTTGATCACTTCTGATTAAATACAGAGCAAGAGGGGAGAAATATAAAATTTCTCTTTTGAATTTTACACACTTGAAGCGTCTCACTTGTTACCTTTGTGGACTGATGTGTATACCCTGTATTAGACGGAGGACAACACTGAATATATCAGTTTGATTAAAACTACCAAAAAAAAAAGGGGGAATCGTGAGAACGCATTCATAATGTAAAAAACAAGACGTTTTACGTTGTTACTAAATTGTAATTAATGTAAGTGTCATGAACATACATGGATGCAGTTATTTCATTTTAGAGGCAATTCAGTTGGATACTGCAGATGGTGAAAGCTGCACATTTGTATGTATGCAGGGATGGGTGTTTGTCTAAAAACATGTATACGGTTAAAACAAAAAGAAAAAAACTATCATACAGACATGAAAAACTTGGTATTGGCAGATTTATCGGTAACCTTATCTTTACATTATAGCCATATCAAATAAAGAGTTTGACTTTCAATTGGTATAATGGGTTTCTGTAAGCTTTTCATCAGTCATTTGGTCCTTTTCCATGAAATAGCCACTGGGTAGTTTGGTATCATTGTGTGTACCACAGTTAACACGAAGCGGAGAAAGCAAAGGTGAGAGCTGTCAGGGGAGCTCAGCGAAAAGATTAGGGTAGATATCTACCGGGTATGTTAAAGGTAAAGGTTGCAAGGGCATCTCAAGCAGCTTCATGTTCCTGTCACTACAGATGCCAATATTAATAAAAGCATAATGTTCACAGAACTGCAGTCAACTTCCCAGACAACATTCTCAGACACAAATAAATGCATCCCCAGGTTGATCAGATGGAAAGTGCATATGGACAAAAAAAAAAAAACAGCAAAAACTATTGAAGCTGAACTTACACCATCACATTTTGAATCACAATGTGCTCCTCAGAAGAAGAATCAGGAGGGCTCCACCATTAGCAAAAACCATTAAAAAGCAAGGCAGGAATTCACCGAAATACACCGAACTAAAATACAAACGCAACGTTTTTGTATTTGCTTCCATCTTTCCTGAGTTGAACTCAAAGGTCTAAGATTTTTTGTGTGTACACAACAGGCCTTTTTCTCTCAAATATTGTTCACAAAACTTGTGTAAATCTGGGTTAGTGAGCACTTCTCCTTTGCCAGGTTAATCCATCCACCTCACAGGTGTGGCGTATCAAGATGCTGATTACACAGCAAGATTATTGCACAGGTGTGCCTTAGGCTGACCACAATAAAAGGCCAATCTAAAATGTGCAGTTTATTACACAGCACAATGCCACAGATGGTGCAAGTTTTGAGGGAGCATGCAATTGGCATGCAGACTGCTGGAAAGTCCACCAGAG